CCACAGCGAAGTGGAGATTTGAACATGGGTCTCCCAGATTTGATGCTCTAACCATGACACCACACTGGCTCAGATAGCTCAGGGAGGCATTTTGTTTTGTAGAAGAGAAGATAATAAGGAGCCTCTTTTACACCCTCTTTTGCTGAAGCAATGGAATATGGCCCTATTTATACTTGTTTCTGTGGACCTCAAGCTGTGACTTATGCAGCAACAAATTATATTTAGACTGTACTAGCACCTTTTTAGTAAAGGACCAAGTGAAATGACTACTTGCTGGCAGTGTACTTCACAAGACGCATCTCTTAAACGTAATGCTTTGGGCCTGTACAGTTATTGGTCTTTTGGGGAGGAAATATCTCTCAGATCTCTGAAGCTAAGCAGGGTGGGCCCTGATTAGTACTTAGATGGGAGGCCACCGGGGAAGTCCAGGGTCACTACGTGGAGGCAGGCAATGGCAAACCACCTCTGAACCTCTCCTGCTTTGAAAACCCCTTGAGGTAGCAACTTGACAGTGATTTACACACACAATTACTCATGAGTTTTGAGTCCAGCGGTGCCTTTAAGACCAACAAAGTTTAATTCTGGGTATAAGCGTCCATGTTCATGCACACTTCTTAAGATACATTGAAACAGACTTCGCCAACCATTACATATAGGTAGAGAGAGCGGGGCGGGGTTAGTTGTCAGGGAGGGCTAATTAGAGTCAAGATGTATAAGTTGCTGAATGATAAAGTATAGCTAGAATTGGATTAAAGCAGTTGATAAGACCTGTGAATAGCAGCAAATTAGCAGACAAATGATAAGAGTCAAGAACTGTTTGATGCAAGAACTGAACGACTTAGTGTATATAGTGAGATAAGAACCCAATATCTGTGTTAAGCCCTGGGGGTCCCATTGTCCTGAGTGTCGTAATAGCTTGTAATTCAGCAGTCTCCCATTCCTATGAGTTTTGTATTAGAATATTCATTTAACTTTGAGGATGCTTATGTTCTGTTTCCCTGTCTCCTGGAGACTACTGAAGGTCAACAAAAAATAGACTCTCCATGCCCTTACTATTGCTAAAAGATTTATATTGCAACACTGGAGGCATTAATATCCACCTCCAGTAATCCAGTGAACGAGGACCTTACAACTGTATCAGCATTTGAACATATGACATTTAGAGAACAATTGCACATGGACATACTTTTAGATACTTGGAAACCTTTCATAGACACTTATCTGTGTACTTTTAACTATTGTGATGTTTTGTTATTTTTATATCTTTCTGTTTGGGGTTTGAGATGGTATATGTACCCAGTTAAGCTGGCTAAGATTGCTAAAACGACTGCTAATATGTGCTGGAAGTGTAAACGCAATGTTGGCACATATATTCACATGTGGTGGCACTGTTGTAAAGCGAAGGAATACTGGACAATGATAAGCAAATTGTTGGAGGAAATAATGGGATTTCAAATCCCACTTAAGCCCGAAATTTTTATATTAAATATGATTCCCAAGTCCTATGGGAGAGTAGGGGAACATTTGTTGGTTCATTGTTTTACTGCTGCTAGGATTCTGTACGCCAAATACTGGAAAGATTCGAAAATTCCAGAAAGGACTGAGGTGATCCAGAAGATATGTGAAGTGGCTGAAATGGATAAACTGTCTAATATCCTAAAGGGGAAGAATGACAAGACTTTTGAAAAAAATTGGGAAAAACTTTACAACTGGACACGATTAGTGAAGGGTTAGTTTGGTTTTGTTTATTAGTCTTAATAAGTTTAGGAAGTGATGCGATGTTATGTATAGGTTATTTGCAGCATTTAAACGAATGTTTGATGTAAGACATAATAGGAAAGCACACAATTTGAAAAAAAATACAAACTCACAAGTAATAAAAATGAGACCACCAGGGGAAAAAAAAAAAAAGAATTATAATAAAAATTAATTTTAAAAAGGAGGAGATATGTTCCACCATCTTCGTCTGTGCTGCCTTTCTCCCCAGTGGAGAACCCAAAGTGGCTTGTATTGTTCTCCATTGCTCCATTTCATCCTCATAGACAACCCTGTTTGGAAGGCTGAGTTGAAACTGAGCAAAAATAAAGTCTGTTCTGCTCAAGTGGTTTTAACAAAAGCTTGATAATTCAGAAATCACTTTATTTATAGCCCACATTTTTCACTGAGCCTCAAGGCTGACTACAAGTGATGCAGTCAGTCAACATAAGACATTTAATAAGCAATGCAATGGGACTAGGGTGATGAAATTAGAGGACAATGCAGGAAAAAAACCCTTTTCTAAATTCCACAATGTGAAAGTTGGGTTCTTAAGAATTATATTAAACAGAGGTAGCATGATCTAAAGCTTGACCAGTGTGATTTCTACCCTAACCTTCCATCTGACAGATTTAACCTAAGTGGCTTTCGATTAAAATAAGTTCAGTGCCCATGAGGGGAACAGATAAATACGAGTAACTTTTATTTATCCACAGGAATAGGGGAATAAGGTGGTTCAGAAAAGAGAACGGAATCTAGTTACAGCTATAACACAGTCTTGCTGGGCCTCTTCATTTATAAGATTATAGTTGACTATTTAGGGTTATAGAGATGACTTAGTAGCCAAGTTTGTATTCTTGAGGTGAATATTAGCCTTCCCTCAGCCTCAGAATTCCCCCAGGGTGAACATGAGCTCCTCTCAGAAATCACAGATCTTTTACTAGAACAAAGTTTGACTACAGTGGCACCTTTAAGATCAAGAAAGTCTAATTATGGGTAGAAGAAGCTTATATGCAGAATAAAACTTCGTTGGTCTTAAAGGTGCCACTGGACTCAAACTTTGTTCTGTTGCTTCAGACCAACATGACGACCCACCTGAATAGATCTTCTACTAGTTTTCCTCAGAAATTGGGGTGTCAAGATAGACACATTCTTCAAAGTACCCTGCTTTATCACAAAAGACAGGTTCTGAGACTTCTGAAGTCTCCTGAGACAAGGTATCTCCCAACTAATGCTCTTGAGATGCAGACCCGATCTCTAAAGATCCACTGGTTTAGTTAGCTAAAGGACGTGACGTACTGCAGAATGAACTGGAAAAGCAGAAGGCAAGGCAGTAAAAAGAAGATAATGTGTACCATGAATAGTGCAATAGACTAGTGTCTTATTCCTTTATCAAAGTAACCTCCTGAACCAAGCATTCTGTTATATTACAGCCCTATTTCTAACTCCCCAGGTAGGCCATTCCACAAATTGGGAGCCTCACAAATTGTGTGTGTGAATGGACAGGCGCCGAGCTTACCTGTTTGTAGAGTGGCACCTTGAGAAGGGTTTGCTCAGATAAGCAAAGCCGTCATGGTGGAGCGTAGCAGGAGAGGTGGCCCTGGTGACATGAGGGTCCAAGGCCACTAAGGGTGTTATAGGTGATAACCAGTATCTTGAATTGAACCCGGTAACTGAGCAATGATCAATGGAGCGATTGCAGAATGGGTGTCAAAACACATGCTCAGCTTACTCCTGGTAATAGCCACTGGTTTCTGATCCACTCTGGAGTCCAATTTAGTGTTGTTTTTGACCTTGAAAGCCTTACCTGACCTGGGAATCTGAAGGAATATCTTCTCCCATGTGTTCCTTACTGTGAAGAAATGTGTTTTTGGGTATGAGATATAATCTAAAGTATCGTATACAAATGTATTGCAATGAAGAAGCAGAATGAGAATTAGTTTTTAAATGTAACATTTTGAATATAAAGGTGTATCAGAAAGTAGATTTGGGGGAGAAATATTTTTTATTATGCAATATATAAGAGACTTCCCTTCTGTATTTTTGTTATATTACTTACTTGTTAGAAGTAATAGCGAGTAGGAAGAAGTTTATAAACAGTGTCCCAAAATCTTTTCAATGTAACGAAGGGGGTGTTGGGGAGAAATATTTTCTGTTTTCTACACTTTGTTATATGTAATTGTCTTTGATATATACTTTTATGCTATGTCGGGTTGCCAGGTCTCACCTTTTGTCTGGCGGAGGGCTCCTGGCTCCTCCGGTAGCAACGCTCTAGCGTTTGCGGTAAAAATTCTGTGGTAACTCTGTGGTAACCATAGAGTTTTCTCTATGGTTAAAACTCCAAGGTAACCATAGAGTTTCCCCTGAATGCTAGAGCGTCGCTCTGCAATGGCCCCAGTGTCATGACATCAGTACCAGTGACATCACTGCGCCAACAGCATCCCTGCAGGATGCTGCTGTTCGGGGTGGGCCTTCCCCTGCCTGCCAGCTGGCCAGCGGTGGATTGGGGCCCCCAAAGTCGGGGGATCCTCTTGCCCCACCGGGGGGGATGGCAACCCTTATGTTATGTAATCCTTTTATTTCCTTTATATTATCTCTTTGTTTTCTAAAATTATACATCATTCTGCCCAAACTTCTTGTTTATTCAAATATTTATATCCCGCTTTTCCCTGTGACTCCAGGCAGCTTACAAATCATACTGAAAAGGGTATGCAAAAAAAATTCGATTTTTCCGGCTCCTTTATAGCCCATGGGGACCATTATAGTCAATGGGCCCGATAGGCTATAATGGAGAATCGATCCAGGGGGCTATCTGGGGCTCTGGGGGAGCTGTTTTTTGAGGTAGAGTCACCAAATTTGCAGCATTGCTGCTAGTGCCTCATCTCAAGCCCCCCCCCAGTATCAAAAAGACTGGACCGGGGGTCCAATTCTATGAGCCCCCCAGAAGGTGGTGCCCCCGTCCTCCATTGTTTCTAATGGAGGGGGGGAAATGCCTGTCTCAGTTCGTTTGTAGGCTGCACTGCCAGCTAAGTTCCCTGCGCCGCCAGCTAAAATGTTGTGCGCCAGCACCCCCTAGCTCAGCTTAGAGGGAACCGGTGGTGGTGACAGAGAAGCTGGCAACACTAAAGAGACTTTCCAGAGTGCTCGTTCCCGTTCCCTGTTCTTCCTTCCCTTCAGTCCCCCTTCTCAACTCTGTGTTTGTCTGTTTGCTTCACCTTCTATTGTGTGCCTTGTTTTTGCTCGAGGTGGCGCTCCTCAGTACCTTCCGGAGAAAGCATTTGGGGGTGTTTCTGACGACTGCAGCTCATCCGTTGCTCGGCTGCTTCCAGCACTCCTGAGACAAGATCGACAGCTCAAGACGGAAGGCCTCTTTACCTTTTGAAGGAGAGCAGTGCTCCAAGATCCCCCAAATTTCGCAGGGATTAAGCTTCTGGGAGGGTCCTTCATTGCTCGGTTTTTCTGGATCTAGGGATTTGTAACTGGGGTGAGCATGAAAGAGCAGTCAGGTGCCCTTCCAGAGGAAGGGCCGGAAGGAGCGAGAAACCCCATTGGCATGGCCCAGTCTGAATTCACTGGGGAGCGACCCAGCTGGAAAGCGAGGCAGGATGTCCGATGGGTCCCCTCCAAGGGGATGCAGCAGCAGCACTGGGAATCTCAGTGGCAAGAGTTCCTGAAGACCCTCCAGTCTCCACACTCGGCGTGGGGAAGCCCACAGGTGGCAGAGGAGACCACCCTGTGGGATGACGCCAAGGCCTTCCTGGCCTCCTTCGAGCAAGTGGCCCAAGCCTGCCAGTGGCCCAGGGAAGAGTGGGTGGTCCGGCTCCTGCCAGCGCTGAGCGGAGAAGCCCAGCAGGCCTTTGGCAGCTTAGAAGCCAGAGACAGAGAGGATTATGGGAAGGTGAAGGCGGCCATCTTGCGCGGAGAAGCCAGCCGCATGGAGACCCTGCGCCAGCACTTCCGGCAGTTCCGCTCCCGGGAGGTGGAGGACCCGCGGCGGATCTACAGCCAGCTGCAGGAGCTTTGCTGCCAGTGGCTGAGGCCGGAGCGGCACTCGAAGGAGCAGATCCTGGAGCTGCTGATCCTGGAGCAGTTCCTGGCCATCCTGCCGCCGGAGCTGCAGAGCTGGATCAGAGCCGGCGGCCCTGAGAACTGCATCCAAG